TTTGACCCTGACTAGTGTGGTAAACAGTGGGAACCATTCATAATGGGGATTATTTGAAGCTTGTTACATTGTAAAAGACAAATGTCACCTTCTCTTGATAACTGAACCTCATTTTTACTTTTCCATTTGTAAATTAAGGAGATTGAACTGTTCTCTCTAGTCCCTTTTAGTGCTGACATTCTGTAAATCTGTGATTCAATTTATAAAATCTAGAGTTGGGGACATTTTCAGATGCTTTTGGTAAAAGCATTTCTATCCAAGAGCTATTCGTATTCAGAACTCACTGTCCTTATGCTGATGACTGCAAGTACAATCAGCTTTAAATTTTCTGTGTTGGTGGAAAGAAGCAATAATGTAGATGATTCAAAAGTCATCTTTTGCTGGCTTTGGAATATTTATACAGAGATATATAGTTTTTTTTTATTTGTAGCAGCAGTAGCAGCAGCAAATTTACCTTTCCAATTATACAAAATGCCTCCTACTGTGCCTGGACATAGTTGGAGCTCAACCAATGTTTTCCTTCTTCATCCTTCTTCCAGCTTTGGGCTAAGAGCCACCTTATTTTGTGCACATCCCAACCAGAAGGGGGAGCAGTGACTGAGGCTTAGGGCAAGACAAAGGGGCAGCTAATTTAGAATGAAAGGGACTGAAATGATGATGGTGCATGTGAAAAATTGTGCATCAACCATAAAAACCTATAAATGTTTCCTTATATACTTAAGTACAGAGCCTAATTTTTATTTTTGCATTTTTTTTTTTTACTGATGTTATGAAAAAGACACAAACCAATGCATCCTTTTTTTAACAGCAGGTCTTCAAATATCGTTTCGTTCAATGTCATTTCATTACAATGTTAATGAGATGATGTAAGAACTTAACTCTTGTATATATCAATTGGCCTATAGTAAAACTGGTTTTGTTATAATATGTCATTTCACTTAAAGTCTCGAACCTATAGACAACATTGAGGGCTTGCTGTACATCTATTTCAGAGTAATTTTTGTTTTCATTTTTACTGTTGTTATGAAAGGAAACACATTTATCTCCCATGTCCACTGTTCTAAGCATAGCTTCTTCACCTCGGTGCACATTAGAATCACCAAGGAGCTCTAAAAAAATCCCTGTGCCCAGAACACATCCAGGCCACTAAGTACCACGAGTATGTAGTGATGGGACCTGGGCATCTGTATTTTCTAAGGTCCCCAGGTGATCCCAATGTGCAGCCAAGGTTGAGAACCCCTGCAATAAACAGACTAAAATGGGTCTAAATAGCATCCTCCTTACCTGAGTAATCTCATTTATCACCACGTGAGTACACCGTGCCTCATATTCTGGCCGGGGTTGTTCTTCCTGCTGTAACTCAACAGTGTCCCATTCATACTCAAGTTCTGCCTGGCGCCTCTTCCAAAACTCCAAAAACAAGGTAACTAACAAAGAGAGAGAGCGGAATCATGTGGATCTTTAATGATGATTGATGTTTCAGAAATCTGTACCAAATAATATTATCCATAACATGTTTATATATGGTCAATAAAATCTAATTTATATATGATACTAATATTTAAAAGAGAAAAATGAGTTCTTTTTGGAAAATGTTGATAATTTATCCAACTTATCGCTCTTATGTGAAAACATATTATAAGCTTACAGGAAAGGTAATAATGTGATGGTCAGAAAGCATGTGAGTGTGTCTAATGCTCAAGTGTCTCCTACCAGCACTTTATTGCCAACTAAACAACACAAATAACTATCATAATCTAAAAGCAGTTCATCATCTATCCTTCAGTCTGCTCTTCCCCACATCCCCCCCCTTCCTTCCTTCTTAAGGGTGGGGGGATGCTTTAGTAGTTCCCAAATCTCTATTTACCATCACCCAAGCCACCCCAAAGTAAGACAATAATATTATTAAATATGGAAAACAGGTTTTCTCAATCTTGTGTAAAGTATGAATAAAAAATGTTTAGAAATTTTTATTATTTTTTGAGACTTATAACTTAAAATGTTAAATAAAGACAACATTAAATGTTAACTGAAAACCCCTAGGCCCTTCTTCCAATCAGACTGCTACCACTAAGCCCTTCCTATACAGAAATTCTGAAATTACCACTAGTCCACTGACAAATATTTTTTTGAATGTCTATGATGTGCTGAGAATAAAGAGAAAAAAGACATAGTCTCTATTTCAAGGGGCTCCTTGGCATATGGGAATTATAACGAAGTGATAGACTATTCGGAGGGCTATGATGAAAAGTAAGCATAGGTTGTTCTGGGCACACAGAGCCAGGCCATGCAACCAAAGCTCTCCCAGAAGAGGGAACCACTACAGTGAGTTTTAAGGTGATGACTTAAGAGTTGATCATATGGTATTTGTCTTTCTCTGATTTATTTCTCTCTGATTTATTTCACTTAGCATAATGTTCTCTAGTTCCATCCATATTGTAGCAAATGGTACTATTTCCTTCTTCTTTATAGCTCAGTAATACTCCATTGTGTAAATGGACAATACAAATTGGTAACTACAATATGGCCTCAGGGATAGACAAGACAGTCTGGGGAAAATAATAATGTTGTAAATATTTTTTAGGGGGCCAGATGGACTCATGTCTTGATAGGGAGACCACTTCATAGTCGGTGCAGAGGCCTGACCACCACACTGAATATCTGAAACTGATGTTGAATAATAATATATGTCAACTATAATTATATACACATATAGTCACTGGACGTGGAGTAGAGAGTGGGAATGGAGTCAATGGAATTGTAATAGATAAGCATGATATGGGGGGTGAGAGGGCAGTAGATGGGGGGTGGGGGTTGTTTCTGTGTGAGGGGTGAAAGGATAACTATTGCATTGTTCTGTACACCTGAAACTAACAATAAAATTAAAAAAAAAAAAAAGAGTTGATCAGGTGATGGTAGAATGTTAAGGCCTTTTGCCCCCAGGGAACTGCTCAGGCAAAGGCAAGCAGGCCAAAGAGGAGCCAGGTACTTTCCAGGAACTGCAAATAGTCTGGAAGTGAGATGACAGTGTGATAAAGAGGGTGGGGCAGCCAGGTGGAGAGATCACAGGGGCCCATTACAAAGGACTCTGTGTGTGCTATGCAAATGTGTGTTCTAGGCAAAATGGGGAAAATAGGACCTACCTCACAGTCTGTTGTGAGCTTAATGACATAATATCTGGAAAGGCCCTCACAACCCTCTGAGGTAATTGTTATTGCTATTAACAATTGATAATAAAAATAGAGGCACAGAGAGGTTCAAATGCTTGCCGAGATCACAGTGTTGTAATTAGAAAGCAAACCCAGGCATTCCTGGCTCCAGAGACCAAGCTCTTACTATGCGGCGCTGCCCAAAGCTGCCTGCTCCTCAGCTACCCTGCTCCATAGCCCATCTTCCTTCGGCTCTGTACCCTGCATGACACCCATTCTTTGCTTAGGTGTCATCACTGCTTGCCTTTCCAGTTTCTGATTCTGGCACTCCTCTGGGGCACACTGCTAGGAACTGTCTCTGGTCCCACACACTGCCTCCACGGGTACACCAACCCTCATGTGGCCATTGCTGTGGCTACCTGGATGTTTACAAGAGCATACAGATGGTGACCCAGCTTTTTACTATAGGTGCTATTGTTAATGGAGGCATAGAGCTGAGTGGGGGAGACGGTTTCTTGTCTCCTACTTGGTCGGAGAGCTAGAAGGAAGCTAGTCTTCCTTATGCAACTTTGAAACCCAGGGCAGGAGTTATGTAAGGCCTCTTAGCCTCTTTAAATAGCAATGATGCCCCCTGCCCGCTGCCACAACCTGTCACCAAGCTGTAGTTTACACTGTAACCCATTGGCCCCATCAGGGAGCAGAGGCAACGGCCTAATCGTCTACCAAGTTCCAGCTCCTGGCACAACAGCTACAATGGGATGAGCTATCTTTGGAGGGTGAAATCTACAAAGCCCGTGGGTATTATTTCCTGACACTCTCAGGTTACTCAAACCCCCAAATCTTCTAAGTGAATAACTTGTGAGAGAAATTTAGCTGGCTCCCCTGTGAGACCCAGGACAGCAGGACTGATCTACCTAGGGCATAGCCACGGCAAGGGGCCCGCACTGTTGCGTGCTCAGTATGAGACTGATGCCTCCACCGCTGAGAAACTGCCCAGCCATTTATATTCGTGTGCGCAATCAGGGGGAAATGGGGTATCAATGGGATGAAAGTCTTGAGGGACCAAGCTATGACTGGCTCATTCTGTTGCCTACCTGATCCATGCCAGCCTCACGTGGCAGATACTCCTAAAAGCAAACTCTACTGGGCCAAATGAGTCACCCATGAGCTAACCCGCCTTGGGCTGCATCTGAAGCAGCACAGTATAGGCCACCCACTTACTAAAGACCCTTTGGTTCACATCTCCTTGATAAACACCCATGTACCCCCATTAAACAGGAGACCCCTACTTTTTAGCTTACCTGAGAATTCTACTGACATGATTGCAATACTCTCCACCCCCGAAATTCTTTCAACTCTGTCTCCCATCTAAACTATGAAATCAATCCAGTGGTAGCGTACCTTCTCTCAAAAAGGGCACACTTTATTCCCTATGCTGACCTCACTTCCGTGCTCACTTCACTTCCATGCTCAATATAGATAGCACTCACGCATCCTGACCTACATTTGCTTCTATGTTTATTGTTTATCATGCCCACTAGAATGTCACCTTCATGAGGGCAGGGATCTTGTTTCGTTCATGTGGAAGCACAAGCCCACAACAGGCATGAAACAAATATTAGTTGAATACATGAACTGTAGGAAGCCGTTCAAGACGCTGGATGACCCTCGCCACTAGGGGCCTCTAAAGGATGGAATCATCCACTCAGAGAGCCCAGATGACTCCAGCTGCTCCTCTCTGTGCATGGCCATCCACTTCCCATCATTCTCTGCTACACCAGTCCACTTGGACCCTCAGTTCACCCTGTACCCACAAACAGACCTGGATAAGCTGAGACGGAGAACAAACCACGGAGAATGTGACAGCTTACTGGTGAGGCCATGGTAGCTCCAGCCTCTTGACTACTGGGAGGAGTTCAGGGTAAACAGACTGAGGGAATCACAATGTGTTCTCTCTGACCTTACAACTTACTCAAAGCACTAGGACTACACCGGCATAAAGTGTGGCCTAAGGAAAGAAACTACGGGTGGGAAGAGAGTGTCTGGCCCATTGTGGACTCTTTTGAACCCAGCCTACTGGAAAAAGCCCTCTAAAGCCACTCTATATGTCTTCCTCATGTTTCTGTAATTCCTCTAAATTTTGCAATTTTAATCTAAATACTATTCGAAATGTAGATGTTTTTGCAATTCTTTTTCAAAAATGGAGAAAATCCCCAATTTCCTTCTCTACAAAGTAAATAAAATAGCTTCCACTTTATAAAAAAGCAGCTTACTTGCATGAATTTATATCTTTAAACATGTCCATTTTTAAAGAAAACTGTGGCTAAGAACATTAAAGCACTGCTCATGTTGACACCCAGAGGCCAGGACTTATCTCAAGGCTGGTAAAAGGAGGCTGGAAGCCTGCTGTTTTCTTCTTCCTGTTACACCTGTGTCAGGTAAGGTAGAACCAAGGACATGGCAATATTTTCTAACCCATACCTAGTATTCAAAGCCCCAGACAAAACAGTGCTGTTGTATCAATCGAGTAAATATTTCATCTTTCTGAAAGCTTCCTACAACTTTATTACTATAGACTACATTCTGTCATTGATCTCAAGGCTGATGACACCCAAATTATTTGCAAAGCTCTTAGTCTCTGCTTGTCACTTTCTGTTGTTGTGAACTTGAGCAATGTTTCATTTCCCTGAGTGTCATTTTCCTCATCTTTAAAATGGGAGTATAACAGACATCATTTACTCACCAGCTATCTAGCAACAGTGTCAACAGGAGACAACTTATGAAAAAGAAAACTTACTTTTCTCACAAAAAGCAAGATAAGCAACTTTAATCAGCACTATAAAGGAAGAACAGTAGATGCCCTTCATCCTCCTTGAACTTGAAAATAAGGTGTAAAGAGGGTGCTGTTTACCAAATCTTGAACTTTAGGAGCAGTTCTGCCTAGAAAGTGATAGGACTGCCATGCAAGCAAAAAACAATATGGTGAGAAATAATGAGTTGTTAACAAATCCTCAATCTTGAAGGCAAAATCCCTGAGAATTGCAGAAATGGGTGGGAGTTTCTTAGTTCCTCATTTCACACAGCCAAGGATTTGCAGGGTCCATGGAAGACAGTGGTAACCTACTATGACCACCCAATGTTTTGTAGTCCTCCTGGGCCACATCCATGCTGACTCACATTGCTGTGTGTCCCACACCGAGAGCACCAGGACCTGGGGTAACTGTGCATGATGTCAGACAGGGATTTCCTGTTCCGCACCTTTTGCTCTCTCCCTACAATAAAACAACTGGCAGAACTCCAGTTGGGGGCACTGCGATTATGTACTCTGGCAAACCACACACCATGAAGCTCTAGTTGATTAGAGAGACACAATTAGGACTCTTACATCAACATATAACAAGAAAAGAGGGAAGGCTGCCCAGGACCTTGGGAATTAAGAACAGCTTGTCCTCTTACTCATGACATTATTACATTTAGAGAAAGTATGCATCAGATGGAGAAGATGTCCATATACAAAAAAAGGGGTTTGGATCACTAAAGCATTGGTGGTGTTATATCCAGCAATATCTAAGGACAAGAGGCATACTCTGGTACATGGGATTGTTCCAGTTGCTGTAAGAGTTTGCTGCTGAAGGGCCGGGACATTTTAACAGGTCTTGAAACTATTCAGATCTCTTTACTCACAAAGGCAGATGAGTTTGATCAGCCTTTATTCCAACTTCCTAACTGAAAGACTACAAAACTGAAAACCACATTTCTCAGACTCTCTTGCAGCTAGGGTTCCAGATGTGATTTGTAACATGTGCATCAGATGCATCTGTGGGTCACTTAAATCAGAAACTGAGCTGAATGGAGGCAGGAGTGGTTGTAGGAGCTGCGTTCCTTTGCTGGTGTGGAGCCAGCAGGAGCAGCACAACTCTGGAACTAACAGTTCCAGCAGCCATTTCCTGACCTCCAAGTGCACCTAGTTAGGGTAACAGAACCCTGATACCCTGACCCCTTATGAGCCAGGTATCTGGTGTTTTTTCAGAAATCACTAAGCCTCGACTAGAACTGAAAAGTAAAAATGAAAAATTGCAGTCATGCAGTCAAGAGCCTGGATCCGTGGAGAATAAGAGAGAAGTAGGTAAGAAGTAACAAGGAATGTGTGTGTGTGTGTGTGGGGGGGATGTTAAAAACCTTTACTTCAACTATGGGTTGGTGTTTAGGGCCCTAAGAGTCAGTATGGATGGGTGGGCTGGCTTGGCCTGGAAGCCAGCCTAGAACATTTTTCAGATAAGTATATGATTTGAACTATATTTTTATTAAAAAAATTTTTTCTGCCTTCAACTTTTGTAACTCCTAGGGAGCAGAAAAATACTAAGTGCCATATACATCTGGGCACAAAAGAAATGCTACAGGAATATGATGACGGTGATATGAAAAACCTTCACAGGATCCTCCTGCCTCTTTAGTTATACCATTTCAGGCTTTCTGTAATGAGGTTCACAGCAGTCGTTCTCATAAGGCAGAGGTAACAAGAAAAGCAATATAAGGCACTTAAAATAAAGACTTCATCATACATACATCTCCTTAAAGATGCACATATGGTGCTTACAAGCAGGGCTGAAATGTTTTCTGCATTCTAAAATCTGATGAAATAAAATCAACAGCTCAATATGCTTAAGTCAGTTCTATAAACATCGTGTAGTTAATGATCACAGAAAGCAATGTTAGCTAGGAAATCTGAGGTTTGTCTTTCCAGTGCCAAAATTAATATATATATATATATATATATATATATATATATATATATATATATATATATTTGCTTTATTTAAGATGTCTTTTTAAATTAGGGCTGTCGGCATCCATTAGTATATGGAGTTTAATAGAGGTGTTAGAATTTTATATATTATGAAACTAAGATTTAGATGAGAGTTAAAGTGCCCTCCACCCAAGTGTTCAGTGCCTATGCTCTTACAGGGGAAAAAATGATTATAGTGGAGGAGTACAGAGGATCTTAATACATGAATTTAAATTTTATTCTTTTATGTGTCAAATATTAGCCAGTGTTCAGTCTCCAGCCAAAACATGCTAAGTGTCTGAATGACAGTCTAACTTATTAGATAAGTTTGGCCATCTTACAGTCTACTTTATTCAGGACTGGCAACTAGTTTCCCTAAAAAGTGTCCAAAATAATTATTGTCTATTCTGAGATCCATGTGGTGACCCTTCATAGGCACAACCACTGTAAAAGAGAAATACTGCCAAGGACGCCTGTAAAGAACTATTTCTGTGAGTCACATGTGTTGATGTGCTGTCTTAAGAACAAGAGACTTGATGGGGGGAGGGGGGTTGTTACTTTGTGAGGGGTGAAAAGGATAACTATTGCATTGTTCTGTATACCTGAAACTAACAATAAAAAAAAAAGAACAAGAGACTTGGTTCTGTTTCTTCCCCCACCTATCTATAACCTGAACTCTATTTTCCCCTTGACTTACACAGTGAAATTGGAAACCCATTTATCTTTGAAAATGGAAAATTTTGTCTTCTGTGGTAGAACATATATACATCAATTAAACATGTAAAAGTTTGCATTTAAAGAAAATAATTGCCTCATTAATAATGCTTTCAAAGTTAATGCGAATATAATGTTAAAGCTTCTATATGAGAATTACACAGAGGGTGCCAAAAAAAATGTATATACATTTTAAGACAGGAAAAAACTGTATTAAAATTGTAATACTCAATATATACCAATAACAAAAGGTGAATACAAGTCATATGTATACGTTTTTTCGGCACCCCTGGTATTCTTTAGGATTATATTTGTTCAATTATTAAATAGGATGTGATATTATTGTAAGAGTAACACATATTTACTAAATACTTACTTATATAGAAGTGCATAAAGAAGAAAGCTTACCTGTAATCCCTGTGTGGTACTTCCCCTGAACCCCAACCCCATGAAAGTCAGGTTGGTTCATAACTGTGGGACTGCTACAATAATGGCTCCCCATGAATTATACCTCCTCCCATCCAAGCCCTTGGGAAGTCCTCCCACCTCCTCACATTGTTGTTGGTTTGGCCATGACTTGCTTTGGCTGATGGGACATTTGCAAACTTGACGCAACTACAGGCTTAATAAATGGCTGTGCATTGGAGTTTGTCCTATTTTGCTTCTCTGTAAAACCCTAAAACCACCATGTGAAGAATCCCGGGCTAGCCCACTGGAGGATGAGAGACTGTGGAGCAAGATGAAAAGCCCACTGAGCCCATAGACCAAACCAGCCTGGTGACTGTCAGACCATCTACCCCAGTGCAGCTGCCAGCTCACCAGAGATATCAGCTGAGCCAGCCCATGCCTGAAGAACCCCCCAGCTGACTGTGTTTTAAGCCACTACATTTTGAGTCAGTCTCTTATGCAGTAACTGATGCAATGGCCTTAGAGTTATAAATGGAGTTCTAGGTGAGCTGAAGCTTAGGTAATCCAAAATCCTAAAAGTGGGTTACTTTGATAGCCTATGTAAAACCTGTATAATGCTATTAAATTAGGTGCTTTTATAATCTTAGGTTTTTGGTTTTTTTTTGTTAAAAGGCAAAAGTAAACTAAAAACAATGAAAAGAACTTACCCCATACCCCCATAAATACTGCAAAGACCAGAGTTCCAAAACTGTCAAAGATGCACAATTTCTGGAAAATATAATAATGACGTATAAATGAATCCTGTTCTCCATTTAGTAGAATTCATCGAATATGCACTACTTCATTATAGAGTCTGAATTTCTTTTTAGAGCTGATAACTTGTTTTACAATCACTGTAAATACTACATACTTATAGATGGAATTTCTCTTTCTTCTGGAAGCAAACAGCCTTAGCTGAACTTACCAGAATGCATTTTCCAATGGAATCTTTCCATATAATAAAGAAATAGGCATAGCTGTCCAGATTCCACTCTGTTTAAAGCCTCTATCAGGATTGTAAATAATAGCTCATCTATGAGCTGTCATAAAAAGAATTGGAGGAACCAGTATGGTCCTAAGAATACAGTGAACTCCCAGCAACTTTTGATTATGATTTGCATCATACCATCATCCCACCCTGATCAGAGGATAAGTTCCTCAATTCCTGCTTTAATTGTTAAGAGAAGTACAAAGCTTGTTCTCAGATGGCTCTCCTCCAGGAGAGCTCTGTTTCCTCAAACCCAATAAAGGCTTTTCTACCATCACTGACAGAGGCTTCCATTAGAATAAGGATGCACAGGTGCTTTTGCTGACATTGCAAAGGGTACAATGACCATGGATGAATAAATGACATACCTGTGCAAAGAAGGCTCTATTCACTAGTCCTGCTAAATTTCATTTTTTTGCTAGTATAAAAATAAGCCTACCTCCCTCCATGAATTCCTAGAAAATCTTTCAATTATTTACTACTTTTTCATTAGTGAGCTTTGTTACATCTCCTAAAAATATCTGTAAAGTTAATGGAAGAAGTGGCAAACATATATCAATTTTAGGATAGCTCATGTGAAAACTAAAGACAACAGGGTAGAAAAGGAAACTATCGGTAAGAAAAAAGCAAGCTTTTCAAATGCTAAAGAAAATTCCAGGCCACTTCTAAGTTAAATTCTATTTTGGTTTAGGTAACTTTTGGGGTTGCCCTTTATACTGATGTAAAATGGGTAATCTTTCATCTGCATAAAAACACTAGTTATGTTATTTTCAGAAAAAAAATATCTACCTAACATCTTCTCATATATCTGTTTTTCAAAGCATCTAGATGCTCCTCAATCATCCATAGAGACCCTGATCAGAAAGCACAATCCCAAAATGCTGTCATCCAATTATTCCTCTTAAATCCAGCTCTAGGAAGACAAACGAGTGAGCACTCTGGGGAACAAAGCTCTCCACCTACTCCTTTAGTCCTGGGATTCCCTGCACCACACATTTCAAATCTTTTAGCTTTGACTCTTTAGGAACCACCTTCTCCAAGTTGTCTGTTAATATCATGCCTCATCCCTTATTGAAAATTATTATAACCTTATTTGAGAAAAGCATCTTAGGAACTGGTTTGGAAAACAAGAATTTCTGAGGAGTGCACTAACCCTTTGACTTTCCCAAGCCGCTGGTCTACCCTACATCCTGAACTTTCCAGCCTCCAGCCAGCCTTGCGCCCTTCAGACTAGCTAGTCCCCACCATCCAGATTGGCATGTGCCAATAATCTATCCCGTTGCTACTGTTTCTCCTGATAGGGATTTTGTACAGTTGGTTGCTGTATACTGACAAAGACTTAATCTTTGAAAGCCAGGGGCATTCTGGCAGCAACCAAGGATCTCGGTTCACTCCCGAAAGGGTTTTCCTTTTAGCTACAAGTTTTAAATTCTACCCATCCCTAGTTTAGTTATGCCACTTACATGTGTACAGACAAAAGTTCAGCACCCCCTAGATTCTCTTAATTAAATATATTCTGCAATATCTATCACATTCTTAAAGCCACCAATCCATCTGTACATTTCAAAACAGGACACTATAGTCAGCAATATGTAACAGTGATATTTAAGTACAGTAAATAAAAAATAAAACATTAGTTAACTATTTAAGAAAAAGTAAAAATATAAAATAAAAATTACCCCCCCAAAATAAAATAATTATATGAAAAGTTTTATGAAAAATAGTTCTGCATGTTACCATGCAATTACTGAAGATTCTGTCCAATGTTATTCCTCTTTTAGGAATCAATGCAAACCTCTCTATAATGCCTCCCGACTTGCCCTGACACCCCTGCCCACCCACTCCAGAAAGAAAAAAGCCTGGCTGTGAATTCTTTGCCCTATTATGCTGCAAAATAAAAAGCACATCTGTCAGTGCAAGAGGGAAAAAAAATGGTGCAGCAAGAAAAAGCAGGTTTACTGCCGGTGCCAAGATCACCCCAGTTGCCGAGCTCAAGACAAGAGATGTTTGCACTCCTGTGAGAGGCAGGTAGGTGGCTTGGATGAAGTTACTACTTTTGCCACATGTGTCAGCATCAAGAACCCAAGAGAGAATGAGATGGCGGGCCCCTCTTTTTGGTGCCTCATAAGTGACATGGAAGCAAGAAGTTGGAGAAAAGGTCAACAAGGGGCTTTCTTGGTACAAAGCTTGGCATAGCTTGCTTATCTGTCATAGATGACACAAAGTAAAAGGCTTGAGGCTAGTAAAGGCTTGGCAGGATGGCACAGCTGTGTGAAGAGCAGGCATGACGATTTTTAGAGAAATCTAGAAAAATGACCATTTGTTATGCTTTCTTTCTGTAAAGGATCAACATTTTATAACTTACTAGGTTTCTAAGAACAAAATATTATAACTTGCCATGTTTCCCTTTATCTTGCCAGCCAAAAAGCTAAGAACCTTATTCAGTGCTCACTCACAAAACAATATTAATCCTGATTATTTCATAGCTGTTTCTTCAGTTCCTTGATCCTCATTTTATTTCTATTTCTAATTTGTTAACCTTTTTAGCATACATGTCAATTAGTGAATATTCCATCTCTTTCCAAAAGAAAGGTAGAAATGAATCTCCAAACAAATGTATAAATGAAGAAAACGATTGACTGAACCAACAAAAAAAGAAAAGCATGAAAAAGGTGCTCTTCTTTTCCCCCTTTTAAACCTATTTTTTCATTTCATTCTTTTACTCATTTTTTTTATTAAATTATTTTTATTATGAAATACACATTTTATATATATATATTTTTTTTTTTAATTTTTTTTTAACATACTTCCTTCCCTTTGTAAATCACTTTGACAAGGCTCAAGGATCCTTCAGGAAACTAGAAGAGAATGATTCACATTTTCCAAAACAATGATAAAAAATGCACACAGGGACATATTTAAAAGTCATGTGTTTAAGGATGGGTAGGTGGAGAAGAAATGAGAAAAGAGGTGGGATGGGATATGTGAAAGAGAATTCCTTAAGGAAAAGGGAATGTGCAATTGTACTTTGCGGAGCATGATTTGCCTCTGGTATTACTGTTGACATTTGCCTTAAATTCAGTGCCTGAGGATATGTACTAACTCGTGACTTTTATGAGTTGACATCACCAGAAGGCAGCTCCTCTTTTACTAGCTTCAAGCCTTTTGCCTTGTGTTATCTATTTGTAGTCTAGAATTTATGTTGGTTTGGGGGGTGGGCAGTGAAGTCTATTCTAATTCATTAATTAAGTGTAAACTCCATGTGTTGACAATATCCTGCAATCATCTTAATTAAGCGATGGAACAATTTTTTTCAAACATAGAGCTCAATTTGAGAGTGACGTGCCTGGTACTACTATCAGGCAGTGAGGAACATGGTAACGGCAGGAAATGTGAACTTTCTGTCAATTTCTGGCTTTCTGGTTAATAGGTGGGTTACCTGGAGCAAATTATTTAATCTTTTAAATCCTTAGGGTTTTCATCTATAAAATAGAGATAATACCTGTTCTGCCTATCTCACAGGGCGGTTGTGTGTGCCAAAAGTGGTAAGTACAAGGCTTTGCAAAGTATAAAATACAAAGTGACATCGCCATCACAGCAACGCATTTCAGTTAAAAGAAGACTTACATGGGGTAGGTAGAATATTCTGAGATCATCTAAGGATTCCTAAACCTTCATGGCAGAACAAGGGGATAGAGGAAGGATCACAATAAGAGGGGTGATAATGTCAAGGTTGCCAGGAAAGCTCTCTAAAGCAAGCTGACCACCCTTCTTCCTGTCTGGAGTTACTGGCATGCCTTTCAATAAACTTGCTCTAGTCTCAATGTTTGTCCTAAACCTCCAGAAGTTTAAGAGGTCATAACTCAAAGCCATCTGCCATGTATAAGGGGAACCAGATGTGTTTTGTGGGACTATTTGGAAAGACAAAGTGAGTATCTGTTATCATTTATATACAAAATCTTTTTTATGCATATTTATAGATACAGTCTAAATCTGACGAGCAAAGTCTTCAAAAATTCAAGCATAGTTTCAGCATACTTTAAAAGTGGGAAAACACAAGTTCAGGTTTTCCACTCCCTTGAATTAAGGAAAATCCTTACAATAGTAAACCTTTTAAAGAGTATTCATGAGACAAGTCAACTGAGATTTCTGCTTTAGTTATTTGAAATACTCAAATCGTTTCAATTCCGCAGTTCCTCATTGACCCTCCAGGAGATTTTAGATAAGGCTTTCAATCTCAATTTATTATTTGTAATTAATTATTTGCATTCCACATCTACCTTTCAGAATGAAGGGTTAGTTGAAGATTACCTTTCTAAATTCCTCAGAGGAAAAAAATACAATTTCTATGTTCTACTAAAATTATTAGAAGAAAAAATATCTTTCATTATTTGTAAATGTTTGGAATAACAAAAATTACCTTTGAGGACTCGCAAGTAATATTGAGTTTCCAGAACGGACAAAGTCTATCACATTGAGGACACATAATGATCTTGCCGCCAATATCAGGATGACAAACTTCTTTGCTAATAAAAGGAGAAAAATCAAATCAAATTTTAAAAAATTTAATGAATAGGATTTCCTTTCTAGCAGCATGATAAAAATCCAACATCCATTTAAGATAAGAAAACTAAACTAAATTCTTATAAAACTAGGGACAGAAACAAACTTCACTAACCTGATAAAGAATTGCTACATAATTATATAATTATAAAATTATAAAACTGTTCTGAAAGAATGAAATACATATAGTAAATCCTATATAAATAGGTACATGATCATGTTCATAATTTGGAAAAGTCGGTATTTAAAAATGTCAACTCTCCCCCATTTGAGCTGTAAATTCAGTTAGAAGAGCAAAGGGCTCAGAACAGTCAAGGCACCCCTAAAGAACAAGGTGCTGTTGGCATAGGTTAAGCAAAACTAACTACAAGAACAAAATAAAGAGTTCAGAAAGAGGCGTCTGACTTATGACAGGGCTGGCCCAGCAAATCAGTAAGGTGAGAACTGACATTTCAATAAATGGGGCTGCTGCATTGGAATATCCATATGGAAAGACATGAAATTGAACCCCTAAATCCTATCACATACAAATCAATTCCAGGTGCAAACTGAGAATGCAACGGTGCCAACTTATTAGGGGAAAAAAAAGAATATTTAGATGACCTTGGGGTAAGGAGAAGTTCCATAAATGAGAAACCACAAGGCATAAATCATAAAGAAAAATAATCGGTACATTCAAAATCTTCTGAAAGTGAGAGCTTCACTAAAATACCCCATAAAAGGAGGAAAAAAAATTGTTGAAGTTTTGCAACACATAAACATGACAAAGGGCTATTCACCAGAATATTTAAAGAACTCCTACAAGTTAATAAGAAAAAACAAACAACAGCTAGTGACAGGATGCTCACTGCTCCCTCTGGAAGCCATTAGAGGAACTCTTAAGTGAATGGGACTGGAGCTGTGTAACTGCACACTTTCAAGGGGTGCATTTCATAGTATAAAAATTATTTATCAACACAGCAGTTATTTTTAAAGGGGGGGGCATAAGTTTTAAACGAGCATTTTACAGAAGAGGAAATACCTATAGATCCTTCACTTATGCATCCATATTTTCAAAAGCACACAAAATGAAATATATTTTGTAGGGATACAAATATATGTGATGAAGAATATCTATTACATGTAAAAGAAGGATAAAAGTCAACATTTAGGACAGTTGTTATTTCCCAAGTGGAAAGTGAGGGGATGCAACCCAGCAAAGCACTTCCCGGGTCACAGTAATGTTTTTTGTTTTTTTTTTAAATTGGATGATTCCTTATACCTTAAATATATTTTCTACGTGTATTCTTGTTAATCTACTCAGTATGTGGTAAAACTAACTGAACGTATCTAAAATTCATATATTTTAAATATTTTAAACATATTTTAAAATTAAATAATTAAAGCCTCAAACGTTTTGTGCCGAGGGACCATATTCCCAAGGCCCCCCTGGTTTTCTATAAAACTAATCTGTGTGAAATAGTAGGAACTGTGTGGTGTATCATGGTGATTTTATAAAATGAATTATCAAGAGAACCACCACCATTGAAGAACCTTATAAAAATGTAACTTTTACACTTCGAAAGTGCATTTCTGAGATGCCTTTTTTTTTTGGACTGGAACAACATACAAAACAATGGGGAAACCAAAGACATATTTAGGCAAAAGGTATCAACATTCAGCCTTTGGCCCTAAACTCTTTTTCAGTGACGAGAAGTTGGTATTTCCAAGACCATCGGCAGCTTTCTAGCTAAGAAGCCATAATGGGTACAAACTGCTCAGAATCCTCTATTAAAATAGAAAGGATAATTATGCCTACACATCAGGGCTGTCACGCGAGCTTCCTGCCTTGGGAGTCAGCCTGATATGCTCTGGGTTAGAAAAATGTGGTCTGCTCTTCGCTGGTACCCAGACATTCTGATCTGGCTGTCACATCTGGATTGAGACCAGAGGATCAAGAGAACATACTTGGTTCGTGTTTATCCCTCCTGGAGGTGGAAGCCACCAAAAGCAGAGGGACAGTAACATATCAGAAGAGCGATGGTGAAATTCAGTGTGCCGGCACCCATGTATTTCTCTTTAGACAAGTGCAGCTGGTATTAATTCTAACAGCTAACATTTATCACTTATATCCCTCCCCCCCACCTTTGTAAGGGATAATCTTTCCAAAGTAAAACAAAAGTATTGTTTACTGGAGTTTTTAAACACATATTTCTTCATATAAATTAAGGAACCTTTTCTAAAAGCATAAAAACACCAATTTTACCAGTTTTGCCATTGAAACCTTGGAAGAAATCAGAGCTGCTCTTGGCCCACAAGCTGAGTGAAATTCCTCTGGGGGCCAGAAGTTCAAGGACAGTCCTCCTTCCAGACCTCCATTCTTTTTCAAAGTATTGTCTTAAAATATTGAAGTGTTTCCTAATGGTAACATTCCTGTCAGAGACTGCGCTGCATTATCTAAGAAGAAAATTTTCCACTCCACTTAGTTACTATGCTCAGAACAAAAGGGATATATCATCCAAAGCAGTAAGTGTTGTGCAATGAGTCTTCTTTTACTAAGAGTCTAAGACCCTGAAAATAATTGTATGTCTCATCAACTTTTCAGCATGGAAACAAAGAACAAACAGAGGTTACCTCCATGTACAGTTATTTTGATTAACATAACCGTAGAGAAAGCAAGCCACTCCTACGACGGCCGCCAGGAAGAGCATCTGAGTGTAATAGCCCAGCCAAGCAAAATAGATTCCAATCTTCTCTCCATAATATTTCCTGAAGAAAGACAAATTATTTTTAGAAGACACAAATAATCACTCTGCGGCTTCATCCGAATAGTAATTTCTGATTCTTAATAAAGGAAGCTTTAAGCTTAAACTTCTGACTCCATTCCCACTTAAAATATACTCATTTTCATAGCAGACCCCAAATGCCACTATAAAACAAAAAGTACTGATTGCTGGTTGGCCTGTTCAAGCAAACTAAATTAAAATAGAGCAAAGGAAGGAAAAATGCTGAATATGGAGCAAGTAGAGAATATCACCATTGTTCTTTGTAAAGACTAGCACTTTTGACACATTCTCCAAAAGATTATCCTTAATATGCATGAAACAAATGAACATGACCATCTGCTCAGCGTTACCTAGTTTTGCTTACTTAGGGGAAATTCCTTGGAGCACATGTAATGTAACTCACAAATAATAACAAGAGAATGACTAGTACTAATAATAATCAGTAGTGGAATGTCTCTCTGACCCAAAAATTTATAAAACGCATTGTGACAGTGGGAGAGGGCAGGATGGGTATGGCTGGGAAATCCAGCACCCTGAATTCCTTCTATCTAGCGCTTCAATGTTTAAGTTTTAAAGTTTAAAAACTGATCAGTGGTGTGCTCTGGGGTACAATGGAAGAGGTCAAATAGACAAGGTTGGGTGAAGGAGGCTTGGGCACGAAGTAGACTGTTCCTGAAAGGGAGACAAATACGGTTAGGCAGAGCAGGGGAAAAGGGTGTAGGGATGAGGAGAAAATAATGATTTTTTTAGGTGATTGCTGCTGTTGTTGATAGTTTTCTAGACTGATTCACCTCTGTTTCGGTATTGATTGGTTCAACGTGTACACTTACTGAAGTCTGAGGCCTTTATGACACTCCCCGCTCAGTATGGAGCTAGAATGAGCCCCCTGGGCTTAGGCCAGTGGGGACTTAGCTCTGAGAAGAGTGTGGACACCTGGGAGATTTCAGGCAGGACTGTCCCTGGGCTGGACCAGCGTTCACAGGCCAGCTGTGAGACCAGCTCCCTAGTGACAGGCCTGCCGCAGGCCACATCCCTGGGGAAAAGGAAGGGATGAGCCCAACATGCAATCAGGAGAACAAAGTGTGTCCATGTTCATATGACAGGGGCTTTGTTATCTCGCACACATATGGCAGGCTCAGGGTAGTGCCTGGGATAGGAAGCCTGGCAACGGGTTTGAGATGTCTTGGCTCTTTGCTGTTAGACTTTCTATAATATGTGCTTATCAACCATCCACCCTTAGACATGCCACATTTAAAATGGAAAAGTGTGTTAAAAATTGCCTGGTCTAACCCCCAATAGTACAAACATCCTGACAGATTTAGAGAGCTGATGAGGCAGTCTCTGCTTGGATATTTACAGTGACAGGGAGTTTATTACTTCTGAGGTAGCCACATTACACTGTAGGCAAGGTCAGAATTTTTGCATCTTAAACAGAGCCTGCCTCCGAGCTCTTGCTGAAAGGCTGGGCATAATGAGGATCCCTTCGAATATGATATTCTAATCATTCTCTCTCTCTGCCAAAAATATCCCAATTCTTAACATAAATTTTTAAAAATTCAGCTTTGATTTTCTTTATAAAAGTCATAATTATACATTTATTAAAGAGTTAAACAGTTCTAGAAGACTGATTATAAAAAGCAAACTCCCCCATTTCCTATCGCCCAGAAGCAACCACTTTCAACTCTTATTTACCTCCGTATCTCTACATAATATACTTGTAGTGTTGCTTATTGATTTTTCAGTTTTATATATCACCTATTGACTTTCTACTTTGGAAGAGGAGGATTAAGCTCTCCTTCAACCCCCCTGTCTCATCTGCTATCCACACCTCCATTCCTCTACCTTCTTGACCTAGTTACATTATAATTTTGGTTAATTTCCTTGCTTTACATTATTATGACTCTGTAAAGACTACTCATGGCTGAATCAAGTCATCTGCTATGCTTCCTTTTTTTTTCTTGATGGGCCCCAAGAGTTTATGCTAATGAGATGACTCAGGCTGAGGGCTGGCTATGTGATTAGAGGGCTGGGGCTTTCAGCCAGGTAACGCTGGCCCAACCTCTGGGAACAGGAGAGGGGCTGGAGATTGAGCCATGTGGGTAATGACTCAATTATGCATGCCTACGTAGTGAAGCCTCAATAAAAACTCTGGGCAATGAAACTCAGAGGTCCCGGTGAGCTTGCCTGTTGGCAAGACCCTGAGTATTGTCACAGTTAGATGCCATGAGGGCAACGCTGAGTCCATCCTTCCCACCGGAGTGCTCTGTACAACACCTCACCTGATAAGATCCAAGGGCTGCTTTTTGTATATGCTTCGAGGATGAGCCCATTCCCTGTATAGAAGGTATCGTTCATTCGGGCAGTTGAAATCCTCTGATGGACAGCTGAAGTTGCACTGGGGAGCAGAAGCAAACAAGTGAGCATCGCAACCACCATGTGTTCACAAATCTGCTTGTTAAATGTGGTGCTGATACTTCACAGTCATTCGTGAATAAGGGGCCTTCATGTGCTGAAGCGGATGGAAATACCATGTAATTTTTAGTGATTCTCAACCAGGGGTATTACTAACCCCTTGAGGGGCCATTTGCAAATGTGGGTGGGAAGGGATTCTTGGTTGTTACAATCTTGGGGAACACGGCAGGTATTTGGTGGGAGCCCCAGGGATGTTAATGTCCTATAACTGGGCTAATCCTAAACAATGAAAAATTGGGTTGCTGAAGTGCCCAAACTGCCACAATGTAGGGACAGCTGATAATCCAGACCCCTCAGTGAACACTGGGGGGAAACAGGGCCTTCGCTGGTCAGCAGCAGCGTCAGTTCTAAAACCCAGGCTTCTCTGTCCCTCAATTCAACAGTTATTCAGTGACAACACGTGTAATACAAACAATGAAGACATTTGATGTTACACACTTAGCTTATTCAAAAAACAAAACTTGCTGCCTCTGATTAAATTCAGTCACTCTTCTTCCCACCTGGCTTGCTTGCTTCCTCCTGGGCTAGATCCAGATTATCGCCCAGCCAGGCCTTAACATGGGTCCTGACCTCCACTCACCTCCCTTCCAAGTACCATGTGAGATCATTCCTTGGCCTGGATATGGCACCTCTGCAATTACGAGGCTTTAGTGGAAAAGCACTGGGCATGGGCAGATGCCAACTGGATACTACAGAACCTTGGCATACCAGATTAACATTCAGGAGAGCTCTCTGCAAGCGTCCCCAGAGTTCATGTCATGTTATCACTGCTAATCTTCCTGGGGCACAAATATAAAACACACAGACTGTCCGGCTGGGCTGCTGCATTGGGTCTCAGCCAGGAAGCTCAGCATCTGCTTGTCTATCCTTCTCTCTGGTCTCTATTTATGCATGTGTACCAACAAGCTGTCTAGTGTCCTAGCGTTAGTACCTTACACAGTACATTTCAATATTGTCTTCATCTATAGATACATGCACTACACAGTAGCAATTATCAATCTCGGTGTTGGCTTTCTTTGGTCTTAAGAGGTCAGATACATTGATAGTGAATGCCACAAAGTAACAAGTGCAATATAATTTGGTATTTAATTTATTTTCATAACGGAATTTACTTAAAGCGCTTAGATATAATATCCCTGCATTTATAGAATCATTAAGGATCTGAAGCACTCACATGTTAAAAACTGCATTTCATGAGAGAGATTATCGGCTAGAGAAGTGCTCTTGAATGTGAGGAGCTGCTGTCATCTCAGAATGTAGTCCTTAAAAAATGTCAACACTCGGCCGTATTGCCATTATGACAAGAACCCTGACAGATGACTTTTTAGAAGCCCTGTGATATTCCAGGGCACAGTTTGAAATGGTATTTCAGGGGGCAAAAAAACCTGTATTACAGAAAATTATAAACGAGAAGGTCTAACATGATTTTGCTTACAAAGAACTAATACTTTCCTGGTTGATAATGACATCCGTCCGTAATTATGAACATAGCTAACACATACATAGTACTTGTTATATATATGCCAGGGGCTGTTCTAACATTTGACATGGATTAATTAATTCTCACAGCAATTCTATGAGGTAGGTACTATTATTATCCCCATTTTATTGATGAGGAAATTGAGGAACAAAGAGGCTAAATGACTTTCACAAGGTCATCCAGCTAAAAAATGGTGAAGCAGGCATTTTGGCTCCAGAGTCGATGCTCTTAACTACTAATTCTACACCACTTTGCACATTTACTGTGGGAGAGCTACTGTTTGTTCATTCATTCACTCATTCATTCATTTACACTGAGGGTCATTCTCTATGCTGGGGATTCAGCAGTGAATAACCTAGTTCTTGCCCTGCATGGGCTTGTAATCTTTCGATACATTATCTTCATTTTGCTGAGGAAGAAACTTAAGTTCGGTCAAGACAATTACCCTTCCTTATTATTAATAACAGTGAAGTATACATTCGGTATTTTATTTCATATTTGCTGTTTGACTTACATCATGGAGAGGGAAAGCTGCCTTGTAGATCCCAGAGCTAACAAGTTTGTTAATCCCAAACTTTTTAACGTTTTCCCTTACTTGATACTTGATTCGAGAGAGGATGAAGTAAACCTAAAAAAGATTCCAAAACAGAGTGTGTGGTTTATACAGTGTTAAGTAACTGATCATTGTTTACTGTCATAACAGGAATGTGTAGGCATTTTTCTTTTCTGTTTTGTGTACGCGGCAGCTTTCAAAAACAAAACTAAACCAACCAAACTAAACCACTAATTATTCAACAGCATGTTCCAAATCACCCAAGACAGCACTAAATTTGGTTTAGGCTTACAATGCGGCTTCTGGTGGCTGGGTTGAAGAAGGTATCTTTATCACGGATATAAAAATCATTCATCCGGTTCTTCTCAAATGGGGCAGTGAAAAACTCTTGCTCTGGCTTGATGATACTTTCATCCACTTGGAGGACTTTGGTAAACCAATTGAAATTACTGAAGGCTGAGGCCCGCGTTTTTAGATCATTGGGTTTCAGAGGCAATTTGATATGCATTATCTCAGCATATGTACATAACACCTCCCACGGGGCATGCACTTTTAGAAACACAAGCTTGTCATCCAAAACCTATATTGGAAGAATAAAGACACAATTCAGGAAAGCCAAACAAACTATTTTCACAGTTTTAAAATACACAGAGTTTTCTTACGTTGCTGGTAGTTAGAATACATGTGCATGAGCCACTTCTGCCCTCTCCCCCACCCCCACACACACACATATACACACAGGCTGGGAAAAGTGAAGATACAATAAAAACAGATTTGCAAATCATCATAAATTTTTGCCTTAAAGATAATTTCTTGGTTTGAATTACTGAGAAAGTAATTAAAATTCTTATCACAGTTCTTTCATAAAATTACTAACATTTTAAAGGAAGAAAAGTAAACTTGTTATTTGCCCATCACTCCATCTAAATTAGCGAGTAACAATAAAAACAATGGAATAC